TTGTGTCTGGGAGCCCTCCCCCCCAGTGCATTTACATTTATTTCTCTAGCTTCTCAATGTCTCATTCCTCCTTTGCCAGGCATCTTGTTTTGATCTGGCTGTGGGTCCCTGCAATACACTGCCCATCTCTGCGGGTGACAGTTCATCACTTCTGGGGACAGATTCTCAGCTCCTGTAAATTGGCACAGCTCCTTTGACGTCAATGGACTTGGAGCTACCCTGATTTAGACGAGCTGAGGGTTTGCAACGTTCTAAGTCAGCTCTAAAATGAAAGTTTCTGCAAATATTTCCATATTGTTTCTTTCCCATGATACATTTTTGTGGCTATGCTGAAGAAATGTGCGGAAACATCCTGGTATGAGCAGCTGGGCTGGTGGAATTATTCACGAGGGGAATCCAAACTTGGGCATCTTGCCAGACAAAGGCTTCTTAGAAGGCATTTCCTGTGTTGATACAGGTGTAGGGAATTCCAAAATGTCAGCATTTCAAGAGATAAACTCCCAAGCAAAGAAACAGAATGAGAGGGCTCAATCTTACGTGGTCAACATCACTGCATGTCTTGTAAAATCTTGTATGCATGAATGCAGCTACCTTGATTAAACATGCAGCATTGTGCAGATGTGTCATAGGGCAGGACTGAGCCACTGGAGTATACAATTCTTATCACCCCCACAGCAGTTTGTTTACAGTCACGGAGCGTATGCCTACAGTGAACACCTCCCCATCCTTCTGGCAGCGAGTCTCAGAGCCCAGATCAACTGACTCATGCTACAGGGCTTAAAATAGCAGTGTAGACATTCCTAGCAGTTGGCATACCCTTCCTTTGTGTGTATATGCAACTCATGATGGGCTGAAATTTACACGACAATGGCAGGAAAGGAACATACTCTAGAGCCTTAGAATCAAGGTAGGGGCAAGTATGAAAAGAATGAAGGTGCATTTGCTTCTTTATTTAACATTTTTCCTGTGTCCTGTTCTCAGACACTTCTAGCCCTTACCTCTGTGTCGGCTTTCATTTCTTACTGCTGCTACTGCCTGTGCTCATCGTATTGCTACTGCTGGCTGCGTGGTCCTTCTGTGCTCCCTTTGGGTATCCTTCTCCCATTCATCTCCATGGCTTCTTCCATGCAATGCCATTATGCTGTGCCAAAACAGCCTCTCTCTGAAAACACATAAAGCCATTAAACATCACAGCTGCATCGAGGTTAGTCCTTAATGTGTCTGGTTTGAATTGTCTGCCTCACATTTACTGAATGCTCTTCATGGGAAATATAAAATGTCTAGTACTTAAGTTGATATATCAAGAAAGTTTGGCAACACGCAATAGTAAAATGCTACATAAGCCTGGTCTTCTCTGGAATCTCTCATTTTAGGAGATCAGTGGCTTTCTGGAAGAAAGTGGCAAACAGGAATTATTGTGATTGATAGCATCATAAACTCAGGTGTCTCATCTGCTCCAAGCAATGAGAATACTTTCCCAGCTCTGCTCTTTTTCTTACAGGATGGGACGTCAGCACACTTAACTATTGTTTGTGTACCAGCAACTACAACACAGTAAGTTCAAGCAGTCTGTGGAACTTATACCTGCCTTCTTCTGCACTGGTATGGGCAGGTTTTCTTCCAGACCACAGCCGGACCTTGGTTTTTGCCCCCATAGTTTTGTGGTTGCAAATAATCATGGGTCCAGCTTTCACCTTCAGTTATTTGCAATCTCTGTTTAGATCATTCAACTGTCTAAGTATATGATTTACAGGCACCAATTGAGCACTTCCAGAGATCCAAGTTATTTTATGTGCACTTGCAAGTGAAAGATGGGAGGCAAGCATTTAAAATTTGGCCTTTTGTAGTCTGTGTGATACTAACGTAGCTATTAACAAGAAACTACTTATATAGCATCTGAAATCTCAAAGCACTTTCCTAACATTAATACAATCTCACATCAACTTCATGAATCAGGATACATTATAACCATTTTACTGACGGGCAAATTGAAATGGAGTGGTTAAGTGACTTGCCCAGAGGACACAAACAAATCAGGAGTCATTGTGGGGAAATAAATCCAGGAGTCCCAGTCTTTTTACATTGAGGAATCAGTTTACAGCTTAAAGGCAGGCAGTTTAAAGTTTCCAGTGAAATGGGCTAGCGAGTATGTTTTCAACAAGTATCCTCTTGCAATATTTAGACTCAAACTTTAGAACTCCCCTTCCTGGATTTGGTGACTTCTGGATTTTTAGCCTAACATCATCTTTTCTCAGGTTCTTCACAACCCTTTCTAGCCAGCCCCCCAGCTCTGTAGTAAAATCCATAAAAAATCCCCTTCCCTGAGGTTCATAAGAACTGCCATACTGGGTCAGACTAGTGGTCCATCTAGCACAATATCCTGTCTTTGACAATGTCCAGTACCTGAGCCTCAGAGGGCATGTACAGAACAGGGCAATTCTGGAGAGATCCAGCCCTGTCTTCCCCTCTTGGCTTCTGGCAGTCAGAGATTCAGGGTCTGCCTGAGCATGGGGTTGCATCCCTGACTATCTTGGCTAACAGCCTTTGATGGACCTATTCTCCATGAACTTAGTTAGTTCCTTTTTGAATCCATTTATACTTTTGGCCTCCACAACATCCCCTGGCAATGAGTTCCACAGGTTATGTGTACATTGTGTGAAAAAGTATTTTGACTTGTTTGCATTAAACCTGCTGCCTATTAATTACATTGTGTGACCCCTAGTTTTTGTGCTGTATCTATTCACTTTTTCCACACCATTCATGATTTTATAGACCTCTATTATATCCCCTTAATCGTTTCTTTTCTAAACTAAACAGCCCTAATCTCTTTAATCTCTCCTCATATGGAGCCATTCCATACCTGTGATCATCTTTGTTGCCTTTCTCCGAACCTTTTCCTGTTCCACTTTTTGAGATGGGGTGGCCAGATCTGGACAGAGTATTCAAGGTGGGGGAACACCATGGATTTATATAGTGGCATTATGGTATTTTCTGTCTTATTTTCTATATCTTCTAATAGCGCCTAACATTGTCAGCCTTTTTGACTGCTGACCCTTCTATCCAATTGGCTGTCTTACCTCCCTTCACTGTCGTCCTCTCAAGAGCCTCATTGTAAGTCTTGCCTCTTGCCTACTCTTTGTTACTAGAGAGCAAAGAGATCTTTAGTTTCCTTGCTCCCTTTCCCAGCATGCATTATCACCCATCTACAGTTCCCAGGGGTCCTCCGGGAACCACACATCCTCAGTTCTGTGCTGAATCAGAATTAGGGTGGTACCTGCCTGTAGCCTCCCTTAAAGGGCCAGCATTCTGTTCCATGAAAGAGGTTGTGCGTTTTAATTGAGCATCGGAAACAGTGACCTGCACCAGCCGTGTTCTGTTTTTTGTTTCTCTCAGTCTCACTGTAGGTTATGTCCTTTTCCCCGATGGGAAGAAGGCTGGCATTGACTGGTCCAATGGCTCACTGGCTGAAATGGCGGATGATGGTATTATCAGAGATTTATACCAAGTCAGTTTCACTGCAGGTAAGTTAAAGGAAGTCAGGTCATCTTCAGTTTTTTTCAGTACTAAACAAAATGCTTTAGAGTCTAGGAAATAATTTCACTGAATTATAAGACAGGTACAAGCAAGGGGAATTTTGCAAGATGCTCTTTCGATTGCCGTATTTTCCAGAGATCTCATGTACTGAATACAAGGAGGGGGAGACCAAAAAAAACCTAACAAGCATGTCCCCTCTCCAAACCAACCCAGCCAGCAGAGTTCCTAGTGCTTCTAAAATGTTCTAGGAGTCAGGGCCTTGAGTCAGAGCAACCAGACATATGGTCAGAAAAACAAAGTCTCTAGGGCCTAGGTAAGGCTCGTGATGTGGGGGGAGCCTGCAGTCAGCATGGCTTCTGGTCTCCTCTCTCACTAAGCTCCCTTTTCTTGCTTATATAGCCTAGCCCCAAGGGTGGGGCAGGGTGCTCCATGATTGCACCCAGGCTGTACAGGCTGTAAGTTCCAGACTGTCCCTTCAATAGCCCGAACACCCTGCTACAAGTCACTATTATAATTTTATTTATCCTGTTGTGGTTTAATTGTGTGTGATTACCTCTCAAAGGGTCCAGTTACCAGACTCTTTTTCACCTGCAAAGATGTACAGGGTATGTCAACACAGCAACTAGACACCCGCTTGAGCTCGGGTTGCAGGGCTGTTTCATTGCTGTGTAGACTTCTGGGCTTGGGCTGGAGCCCAGGCTCTAGGACCCTGGAAGGTGGGAGGGTCCCAGAGCGTGGGCTGCAGCCTGAGCCTCGCGAGCTTGAGTTGGCTGGCATGGGTCAGCCACGGGTGTCTAGTTGCTGCATAGACATACCCACACATGTGCTTAACTTTAAGCATTGGCGTAGTCCAGTGGTTCCCAAACTTGTTCCGCCACTTGTGCAGGGAAAGCCCCTGGCGGGCCGGGCCGGTTTGTTTACCTGCCGCGTCCGCAGGTTCGGCCGATCCTGGCTCCCAGTGGCTGAAGTTTGCTGCTCCAGGCCAATGGGGGCTGCGGGAAGCGGCGGCCAGTAGGTCCCTCGGCCAGCACCGCTTCCAGCAGCTCCCATTGGCCTGGAGCAGCGAACCGCGGCCACTGGGAGCTGCGATGGGCCAAACCTGCGGAACATCTCTGTGTTGCTCAGGTTTAACTAGCTGGGAAATGAGTGCTGAAATTTCCAGTCTCCTTTGGTCAAAGCTCACATTTTGGCTTGGGAACCAGCTGCTTGAAAACACCTAGAATGGTGGAGGGCCAAAGAAGCTTTAGAAAAAATGTTCAAAATGTACACAAAATACTTAGAAATGTCTAAAAAAAGAAAGGTTTAGGGGTGGGGGAACTGTATAAATCAACATAAAGCTCTTGCTTGTTTCATCTCGACTAAGTACTCTGTCATATCGTTAAGGAAACCTGCCTACATTTTCCCTTCCTAAGGTGGCCAGTTCTTTGAGGTTTGTGCTAGACTCGACAAGCAGGCATGCCCTGTGGTATATAATGGTTTAACCGGAACAGGAGTATTCCATGAGTGCATTGCTGATTTCCAACTGAATCGGACCGTCCCAGGCTGGGGCTTGGTTGAATTTTATTACAGGTGAGATCCTGGTATACAGGAGTAGAGAAATTATCCTTATTCTGAGAGCTGAGTGGAGACAGCAAACAAATATGCTTTCGAACAAAAGGCACACATCTGAATTGCCAGCCGTGGCATTCGCTGTTTGCTTTCTGTGAATGTTTGCATAAGCACCGTTTGTTCCAAAGCAAAACTGTCCTGAATACTTATGCATGTATTCTTGTGTCTATGTGTGCATCACAGGGGCTTGTGCAGCCATCTTTGAATCTCCTGCTGGCTTTGTGAGTTGGAAGCCCATCCACTCTGGGGAAATGAATGAGTCTATGTCAAATTGGGCGGCCTGTCACATTATGTAAATAATGAATCACAAGCATTATCCATTCACAAACAGCACTTTAGCCATCTCAAAACTGAAATTTGTTCAGCCGAAAGATTTGTCAAACAACTGCAAATAGCAGACAAAGTATGAATAAACTCATCGTTTGTTCATGGGTAACTTTGGACACAGCCCTGGTAAAGCTCCCGCTGCTGGCCATTCACCAGGCTGTTGTTTTGGGCCCACGTGCTGTGCGGCACTGCCTCTGGTTTGGGTCTTGAGGCACACTCTTGGGGTGCAGCTCCTCCATTTAACACTGCCTTCTGAGAGCTGAGACCCTAGGCTCCAAATGCCTAGACCCAGTGACTTATGCCAGCTCCCCCAGAATCCCCAGTTGCTTAAGCACACATCCTTTCTTACAGCTCCAGCCTTGGGGTCACTCTGAATTACAGTTTACTTCTCCAGGGACACATCATAGATAAAGCACATAACACCCAGATTCTGCAAAAGGGATTTTAAAACAATTACTCTTTACTGGAGACAGCACAAGAAATATATCGGTCTAAATTAAAGAATACAACATCTCTAGCCCATCCCTGCCTCAGTTTCCTTACCATTCTGGAGTGTTCTTTGGGATTTGGAGCAATGTCCTTTCAGGATCCCAAGTCCGCCTCTCCTTCACCTCTCTCGTTCTGGCTCCTCTGGAACATGGAGTCTCCCACTTTTCCAACCAGCTTCCTTTGGCTTGGCTAGTCCCACAGTCAAAGAAGACCCCCTCTGCTATGAAAGCATGCTGGTCTGTTCCTCTCCTGCCTAAGATTTCCTTTTCTCTGAGTCCCTCTGAGTTTTTAAATGTGAGCAGTAGCCCCGGGTTTCTGTGTTTTCCTGTTGGGAGATTTTCCATTCTCCACTCCCCTGAAGATAAACTTGGTTGAATGGGTTTTCCAGCTCAGGCATCCCCCTTAGCATACCCACTGTTCAGCCAGAACCCAGCTGTTACGGTTAATGACTTCTTTTTGTTTATTCTGTGATATGTAAAGGACCCTATCAGCCCACGGTTGACTCACTACACAGTGAGGCCTTTGATGATACAGCAATTGTATAAAATTAACCAGAATTCATAAACTGTACATAGACAGATTACTCAAATTGTCACAACTTGTGAACAGGAGAAAAGGCTACAGTCACCAAATACATCTTTCACTGCAAATTGTTCACTCGGCTGTGCTGAGAAGTATGATTATTTCTGATTCACTAGAGAATCCAGTAAAAGATTAAGCCCACGTTTTTCCAAAATTAGTAATGATTCTTGGGACTCAACTTCAAACATCTTAAAGGGTCGTAATGTTCAGAGGATGGGTGCTCAGCACTTTCTGAAAATTGGACTCATTTAAGATATCTAAAACTGGACTCCAATGGAACATTAGTTAGTTTTGAAAATTGTGGTCTAAGACTGATGCCAGATAACCAAATAGCTCATTAGACTCATAGACTTTAAGGCCAGAAGGGACCACCATGGTCATCTAGACCAGTGGTTCTCAACCCGTGGCCCAATCAGCACACAGCTGCGGCTCATGTGACATCCTCAGGGCCATATAGGTAGTATATAGTGTGCATGCAGCCCACAATGGTAAATAGGCTGAGAACCACTCATCTAGCCTGACCTGCACTGAGAGATATACATACATTTTGAGAATGTAGCATTCATGACAGAAAGGCAGTCTTACTCCTTGTCTTCCCTACCACTGTGGCATAACATGCATCATTTCTGTACTTCTAGAGATGCAACTGGGCAGCTTATTCCTAATTCTGGCTCTAGGCTGAAGGAGCCATCCGTTCCTGCCAGCTCCCAATTCACTGAAGAGCACTCTCAATGCACCAGGGACGTGGGGGGCAAAGGAGCCCAGCTAGATCAGCTCACATAGTTACAGAAGCAGCTCAGGAACAAGGTGAGTTTTCACAAGGAGCCAGCATCTTTCAACCTTCAGCTCTCCAGTTTCCAGGCTGTGGAGTTTTGCAGTGACATCTCTGTTGTTATAAATGCATGTATGTGACAGGTCTGTCTTGGAAACTCAAGCTGTATCATAGAAGCATAGGATTGAAAGGGACCTCGAGAAGTTTAATAATTGGTTACTATATTGAGCAAAGCAGAGTGCATTGGACTGTCAAAATAGATATTTGGAGAGAGAGTTTCATAGAATCACCTCGAGAGGTCATCTAGTCCAGTCCCCTGCACTCATGGCAGGACTAGTTATTATCTAGACCATTCCTGACAGGTATTCGTCTAACCTGCTCTTAAAAATCTCCAATGATGGAGATTCCACAACTTCCCTAGGCAATTCATTCCAGCACTTAACCACCCTGACAGTTAGGAAGTTTTTCCTAATGCCCAACCTTTAAACCTTCCTTGCTGCAATTTAAGCCCATTTTCTTCTTGTCCTAGCCTCAGAAGCTAAAAAGAACAATTCTTCTCCCTCCTCCTTGTAACAATCTTTTATGTACTTGAAAACTATTATCATGTCCCCTCTCTCAGTCTTCTCTTTTCCAGACTAAACAAACCCAGTTTTTTTCAATCTTCCCTCATAGGTCATGTTTTCTAGACCTTTAATCATTTTTGTTGCTCTTTGGACTTCCTCCAATTTGTCCACATCTTTCCTGAAATGTGGTTCCCAGAACTGGACACACACAATACTCCAGTTGAGGTCTAATCAGCACGGAGTAGAGCAGAAGAGTTACTTCTCATGTCTTGCTTACAACACTCCCGGTAATACATCTCAGAATGATGTTTGTGATGTTTGCTTTTTTTGCAACAGTGTTACACTGTTGACTCATGTTTAGCAACACTATGACTCCCAGATCCCTTTCCGCAGTACTCCTTCCTAGGCAGTCATTTTCCATTTTGTATGTGTGCAACTGATTGTTTCTTCCTAAGTGGAGTACTTTGCATTTGTCCTTATTGAATTTCATCCTATTTACTTGAGACCTTTTCTCCAGTTTGTCCAGATTATTTTGAATTTTAATCCTATCCTCCAAAGCACTTTCAACCCCTCCCATCTTGGTATCGTCCGCAACCTTTATACGTTAACCGTATCACCTTATTTTCTTCTAAATGTTTGCAAATTGATTGCTTCATTATTTGCTCCATTATCTTTCCGGGTACAGAAGTTAAGCTGACTGGTCTGTAATTCCCTGGGTTGTCCTTATTTCCCTTTATATAGATGGGCACTATATTTACCCTTTTCCAGTCTTCTGGAATCTCTCCCTTCTTCCATGACTTCTCAAAGATAATCGCTAATGGCTCAGATATCTCCTCAGTCAGCTCCTTGAGTATTCTAGGATGCATGTCATCAGGCCCTGGTGACTTGAAGACATCTAATTTTTCTAAGTAATTTTTAATTTGTTCTTTTCCTATTTTAGCTTCTAATCCTACTTCATTTTCACTGGCATTCACTACATTAGATGTCCAATCACCACCAACCTTCTTGGTGAAAACTGAAACAAAGAAGTCATTAACACCTCTGCCATTTCCACATTTTCTGTTATTATTCCCCCCACACACAATGAGTAACAGGCCTACCCTGTCCTTGCTCTTCCTCTTGCTTCTAATGTATTTGTAGAATGTTTTCTTGTTACCCTTTATGTCTCTAGCTAGTTTGATCTCGTTTTGTGCCTTGGCCTTTCTAATTTTGTCCCTACATACTTGTGTGACTTGTTTATATTCATCCTTTTAATTTGACCTAGTTTCCACTTTTTGTAGGACTCTTTTTTGATTTTTAGATCACTGAAGATCTCCTGGTTAAGCCAGGGTGGTCTCTTGCCATACTTCCTATCTTTCCTACGCAGTGGGATCATTTGCTCTTGTGCCCTGAATAATGTCTCTTTGAAAAACTGCCAACTGTCTTCAATTGTTTTTTCCCTTAGACTTGCTTCCCATGGGATCTTACCTACCAACTCCCTGAATTTACTAAAGTCTGCCTTCTTGAAATCCATTTTCTTTATTTTGCTGTTCTCCCTCCTACCATTCCTTTGAATCATGAACTCGATCATTTCATAATCACTTTCACCCAAGCTGCCTTCCACTTTCAAATTCTTAACCAGTTCCTCCCTATTTGTCTAAATCAAATCTAGAACAGCCTCTCCCCTAGGAGCTTTCCCACCTTCTGAAATAAAAATTTGTCTCCCATACATTCCAAGAACTTGTTGGATAATCTGTGCCCTGCTGTGTTATTTTCCCAACAGATGTCTGAGTAGTTGAAGTCCCCCATCACCACCAAGTCCTGTGCTTTGGATGATTTTGTTAATTGTTTAAAAAAAGCCTCATCCACCTCTTCTTCCTGGTTAGGTGGTCTGTAGTAGACCCCGACCATGCCATCACCCCTGTTTTTTACCCCTTTTATCCTTACCTGGAGACTTTCAGCAAGTCTGTCTCTTATTTCCATCTCAACCTCAGTCCAAGAGTATACATTTTTAATATATAAGGCAACACCTTCTCCCTTTTCCCTCGCCTGTCCTTTCTTAGCAATCTGTACCTTTCTATACCAATATTCCAGTCATGCGTATTATCCCACCAAGTCTCTGTGATGCCAACTATGTCATTGTTGTATTTATTTACTAGCATTTCAAGTTCTTCCTGCTTATTCCCCATACTACTTGCATTAGTATACAGACATCTAAGATACTGATTTGATCCCACCCCCTGTTCTGTCTTGTCTCTCCTTTATCCCTGCTATAACAGCCCATGCTCCCCCCAAATTCCGACCCTTCTCCCAGGTCTCCATGTTTTTGACTTAACTGTGGGCTTTGGTCACCTGCCCCCTTTGAACCTAGTTTAAAGCCCTCCTCATGAGGTTAGTCAGTGTATATTCAAACATGCTCTTCCCCTTCCTCGATAGGTGGACCCCATCTCTGCTTAGCAGTCCTTCTTCCTGGCACAGCATCCCGTGGTCAAGGAAGCCGAAGCTCTCCTGGTGACACCATCCTCGCAGCCAGGCATTCACCTCCAGGATGCATCTGTCTCTGCCTAGGCCCCAACCCTTGACCAGAAGGACTGAAGAGAACACCACCTGCACTCCAAACTCCTTCACCCTTACTCCCAGAGCCCTGTAGTCACTTCTGATCTGCTGAGGGTCATACCTCGCAGTATCATTAGTGCCCACATGGATGAGTTGCATGGGGTAGTAGTCGGAGGACCAGATGATCCTTGACAATCCCTCCGACAATCTCCTTGATTTCTTTATCCCTAGAAGTCACTACAAAATGGGCACAGAACATTTTGTGGCAAACTACCCAGATTCGTTAGTCTGTCTACAATTGTACCAGAAGCAGAACCAGAAAAAGTAAAAGACTATGACAGCACTTCAAACCTACAACGCTAAGTGCAAATATTAAATAGTCATACCAATACTTCTAGTAGAAAGTTTATGGTTTATATCTAAGAATACAAAAATCTCTTAGAAAAAATCTGCATTCTATTCACAGCACTGAATGGTTATAATATGCCATAAAACAGTAGAAATGCAGTGTTATTTATTAGTATAATTCTTGTGAAAGATCCTGGACTGACAGCCCTATAAAGTGAAGTCCCATGTCTCTGCAGAACAGATGCACGGTGCAGCTGCAGTTTAAGTCTTGTAAATGTACCTTAACACCAGTTTAGGTGGGAGTGCCATCTGTAGGGTTAAGAGGGTAGTACAGCCTCCTGCATATTCATTTTTAGTTTCTATGCTCAGAATGCCAGCTAGGAGACTATTAGGCCTGGTCTACACTGGGGGGGAGGGAGGGGCTGTGTTGATGTAAGATACACAACTTCAGCTACGGGAATACCGTAGCTGAAGTTGAGATATCTTATACCAACTTACCTCCCATCCTCACGGCGCGGGATCGACGGCTGCGGCTCCCCCATCGACTCCGCTACCGCCGCTCGCTCCGGTGGAGTTCCGGAGTCAACAGGGAGTGCGTTCGGGGATCGATATATCACGTCTTAACGAGATGCGATATATCAATCCCTGATAAATCGATCGCTACCCGCCGATACGGCGGATAGTCTGGACGTACCCTTAGAGCCAAGGATGATGTTTTTTTTCTGATATGGACACCTGTCCATTAGAAACCAAGCTGAGATCACCGCACAGATAAGCAATTCCTTTGAAATAGGTCACCAACACTACATCAGGTGGTAACTAGTCTGGGCCACACACTTTATGTCAACTGCTAAAAAGCTTTGTAGCCCATCACCAAATTCTCAAATTATCTAGTTCCCCCAGGAATAAAGTTCTCTTATAACGTTTGCCTGTTTCATTAGAGGGGCTTAAGTGCCTGTGCAGAAATCCATTGATAGTAAATTTGGCAACTTTTATATAAGGGAAATTTATTTTTCATTATGCTTGGCTAGTTGTAACAGTCAATTTTTAAAAAAAATTATCCGTCCGTGTACTTTTAAGAATAGATTACTTAACAGTTAGTGTATGTATCCAGCAGCCAAGCAAAAGCATTGTATTTTAAAACCTGCACACAGTAGCAAATAGACAATTGTTTAGTAAATGGCTTTGGGGGGGGGGAGGAGGGGAGGAAGGGGGAAAGTACAATACATTTGCTACTGTGAGCTGTGAATACATTGTACATTATTTAAGTATATATTATTGTGCACTAACTGTTTATCACATACTTAGAAATATGTTAGCTCTTTATAATTCATTGTTGGACAACTTTTAAAATCAGTTACTTTTTAGAAGATTATAAACCACGGAAATTCTTTATTTATCAATCAAAACCTGGCTAAACAAAGACACAGACATGAATCAGGGTTTTGAGATTGGGTAACATTTAGAAATTGGAACCTTTCCACTCTGATCTTGACTGAGTAAATCATTGTAGTAAATGCTAGTTAGAAAGGCTTTAGCCATTAAAAACAAAAAGATCTCTAAGCAGGAAAAACCAGTTTGCTCTTGTTTAAACATTTGTGTGGAAACAACCATTCCTGGCGTCTGTCTGATATCTTAGGTTTCAGAGTGATATCTTAGTTAATCATGCAATACCTGTTTTGCAACAAAGTTTGATCTCCCCTTTTTTCCAATCATTGGCTTAATAATATACACATAACACTGATTCTGATCCCTCACTCTCAGCCATTACAGGCTATTACGCCTAGGGGAACTCAGCGCATCCGCGGACGCGCAGAATTAATCTGTCTCGCATAATTTTGTATTTTCCTGCATAAAAAACATTTTGCCTAAGTGCTGCAGTTTCGCGACCTGTCCACCAGAGGCCGCTGTAGGGCCAGAACAGCCAGCGGCGTTCATGCCGACTGTCCTAGCGCCACAGCGGCCTCTGGTGGGAAAAAGCCGGAACTGCAGCACTTAGGCAAAATGTACAGTATTTTATTCGGGAAAATACAAAATTCTATGCCCAGGGCTGCAGAATTCCCCCTGCAGGAGTAGAGTTCATCACAGCACCCTGCCCGCTGAGCCAGATTAGGATAAGGTGGGGCATACAGGGCTGCTGGGGTGGGGTGTCACACACTGGGGTTCAGAATGGCTAGTGGGGGGACAGACTGGAGCATTGGCTCAGGAGCTAGTGGGGTGACAGCGTTGAGCTTGGGGATATGGGAGGGCGGCTGCAGAGACCTGTGGGGATGAAGGGTGCGGGGACAGGGGCAGACGTGCCTGACTGAATGGGAGAGACTTGGGGTCAGCCAGTGTCTACATGGGGGAGGCTTCTCATCACCCTAATAATCCCCCCCAAAAGAAAAACCTCCCTCCCACACCCAACACCCTCCAAGTTCACACGTAGGCTCCTTTCCTCTCCCTCAGCTCCTGCAATACCCCTGACTCCCCCAAGCATTCGCACTGCTTCTGACAGATGCAGGAAATACAGTTCTCCCCCCGCCCCCACTCCAATTGCAAGGCTGTGCCAGAACCTCACTTCTCTGCTGGTTAGAAACCTTCTTCTAATTTCCAGTGTGGATTTATTCAGGGCCAGTTTATAGCCATTTGTTTTTTCGGCCAACATTGTCCTTAAGTTTAAATAGCTCTTCTCCCGCTGGGGTGTTTATCTATCTACTGATAGATTGACGTATTGTAATTTAAATGAACTGCACAAAGTTCTGTATTAATATGCCTAGTAAGGAATCTATTTGTCAAAAAAAAATTACCAGAATATTTTTGGGGGTCTGTATTGTTACAGACATACTTGCTGACATATTTTGAAATAAATTAGCAAAATAATTGAAACTGGCATGATTATATTGTGTATTTTTGACAAATAAAATATGCAGAATTTTGCTGAATTTTCAAATATTGTGTGCAGAATTTTTAATTTGTTTGCTGCAGAATTCCCCCAGGAATAAGCTATGTAACAAAACAACTGAATCTGGCATGGGCTGGGACTCAGGAGACCTGGTTTCTTTTCAAGGCTCTGCCACTGGCCCCGCTGGGGTACCTTGGGCATGTACTGCATCACTCTGTGCCTCAGTTTGCCCATCTGTAAAATGGGAATAATGATACATCCCTCTTTCGGAAAGCCCTTTGAGATCTGATTGAAAGTAGTGTATAAAACTACAGTATTATTATTAGAGCTGTATATTCTGTGTTTAGCTTTCTTCTCATGGGTCCCAGAAAGACTCATAGACTCATAGACTCATAGACTTTAAGGTCAGAAGGGACCATTATGGTCATCTAGTCTGACCTCCCGCATGATGCAGGCCACAAAAGCTGACCCACCCAATTTCCCTTATCTGAGCAGCTGTTGAAGTCTCCAGATCGTGATTTAAAGACTTCAAGTCGCAGAGAATCCTCCAGCTTGTGACCCCTGCCCTATGCTGCGGAGGAAGGCAAAAAACCTCCAGGGCCTCTGCCAATCTACCCTGGAGGAAAATTCCTTCCCAACCCCAAATATGGCGATCAGTAGAACCCCGAGCATACAGGCAAGATTCTCCAGCCGGACCCACATTTTACCAGCGATGGCACGTTATTGCCTAATTGACTAAAATCACGTTATCCCATCAAACCATTCCCTCCATAAACTTATCTAGCCTAAGAGAAGTCCTATAGCTTAGAGCTATCAGTGTTTTAGAAGTTATAGAGTGAATTGGCCTTTCTTTTGTATTGGAAAATATTGTGTGGCATCCAGTCCTAATGACAGCCACTCTAGATTGATCATGGTTTGACATCACACCGAAGTAGGCGGCTTTAAAATCTCATGGGTGAAATCCTGGCCCTATTGAAGCTAATGGGAGTTCACCCTGTGAGTGATATTCTGGCTTCATTTAAATCAGTGGCAAAACTGCATTTGACTGTAAATAGGATCAGGATTTCATTCTGAAGCTTCCTTCATAGTTTGAGATCACGTATAGCCTTTAACTCCTCTACATATAACCATGTGGTTACTGATAGTTCCCAGATAACAAAAGTAACACTGGGAAACACTGATTTTGTGATAGTTTAGAGAAAGTGCTTTTGGGTCACTGTCTCATGGCATAGGACAGTATCATGCCTTAGTTTTCTAAGTAGAGCTCTTCATTGAACTGTGTAAGGAATTTTGCATAAAAACTCCTGCCTTAAATGACTTAAATTTGATGTGAGACAAGAAATTCTACTCAACAGTCTGCTTTCAATTCTCTTACACAGAACAGGGGTTCTCAAAGTGGGGGTCAGGACCCCTCAGGAGGTTGCAAGGTCATTACATGGGGGGTTGTGAGCTGTCAGCCTGCACCCCAAACCCCGCTTTGCCTCCAGCATTTATAACAGTGTTAAATATATAAAAAGAACTTTTAATTTATAAGGGGAGGGGGGTCGCACTCAGAGGCTCGCTATATGAAAGGGCTCACCAGTATAAAAGTTTGAGAACCACTGATATAAAGTATATGGCATCGGCTGAGAAAAAAAGAAAAAAGTTATAAAATATACTAAAGTCAGAGTAGGGACACAGGTCTGGAAGGG